CGGATCACCTGAGGTCAGGAGTTAAAGACCAGCCTGACCAACATGGTGAAACTCCATCTCTACTAAAAATACAAAATCAGCCGGGCATGGTGGCACATGCCTGTAATCCCAGCTACTCAGGAGGCTGAGGCAGGAGAATTGCTTGAATCCCGGAGGCAGAGGTTGCAGTGAGCCAAGATTGCACCATTACACTCCAGCCTGGGCAAGAAGAGCGAAACCCTGTCTCAAAAAAAAAAACAAAAAACAAAAAACAAAAACACCAGGCACGGTGGCTCACACCTGTAATCCTAGCACTTTGGGGGGCTGAGGCGGGTGGATCACAAGGTCAGGAGATCGAGACCATCCTGGCTAACGCGGTGAAACCCCGTCTCTACTAAAAATACGAAAAACTAGCTGGGCATGGTGGTGGGCGCCTGTGGTCCCAGCTACTCGGGAGGCTGAGGCAGGAGAATGGCATGAACCCAAGAGGCAGAGCTTGCAGTGAGCCAAGATTGCACCACTGCACTCCAGCCTGGGCAACAGAGCGAGACTCCACCTCAAAAAAAAAAAAAAAAAAAATTATCCGGACCTGGTGGTGTGCACCTGCAGTCTTAGCTACTTGGGAGGCTGAAGTGGGAGGATTACTTGAGCCAAAGACTGCAGTGAGCAGTGATTGCACCACTACACTCTGGCCTGTGCAACAGAGTGAGACCCTGTCTCAAAAAAAAAAAAAGAAAAAAAAGAAAAAAGAACAAGATAGCCAAAGAAGTGGCATCGTGCAGTTTTGTATGCCTGGTATAAAAATAACCTTAAGAAAAGTGTTGGCTGGGCACGGTGGCTCACACCTGCAATCCCAGTACTTTGGGAGGCCAGGCAGATCATGAGGTCAGGAGATCGAGACCATCCTGGCTAACACAGTGAAACCCCGTCTCTACTAAGAATACGAAAAATTAGCTGGGCGTGGTGGCAGGCACCTGTAGTCCCAGCTACTCGGGAGGCTGAGGCAGGAGAATGGTGTGAACCCGTGAGGCGGAGCTTGCAGTGAGCCGAGATTGGGCCACTGCATTTAAGCTTGGGCGACAGAGCGAGACTCCGTTTCAAAAAAAAAAAAAAAAGAAAAAGAAAGAAAAGTGTTAAGTGACAGACAACTTTCAGGGTAATATGTGCAGTATGATCCCACTCACAGTAAAAAAAAAAAAGCAAACAAAACAAAAACAAATCAAGAAAACCCCCATAAAATGAAAGTCTAAATTTTTATCTGAACACACACAGAGACACAAACATATGCACTTTTGTAGGGGAAAAAAAGGTCTGGAAATGTATGTACCGAATTCATGACTTTGCTTGTACTGGAGTATGTAGGGAGCAAGACTGGGAAGGGGTGAAGGGCAGGGGCAGGAGCTGTGGAGCTGGAGGGGAGGAGTCGACCTTATGGTTATTGGAGGAACCCAAGAAGCCCTCTGCATTTGGGTAGTGCTGGTTCCTCGCAGGTGCTTGGAATCCTCCCAGGGACAGAAACATCATTGGTGTGGGGAGGACACACTTCTCCTGGCAGGAAGGGGCAAGAAACCTGCCCTCTAGGCTAGCCTCAGGGCTGCCCTCTGTGTGGCCTGGGGCCTGTTTGGCTCTCTCTGGGCCTCAGGGTTAGGATCTCTGTGGGCTGTTCCAGCTGGACCAGTCTCAGATCCTAAATGCATTCCAGAGCCTTCTCATGGACGTTGGGCTGCAGCAGGGGCTCAGAAAAGCCTCACTAGGCCCTTGGTCTGCTGAGACCTGGGTGGGCGGCCTGGGGCTGGAAGCTGTGTGGGAAGAAAGTTTCTGAGTGGCATGGCCTCCCGGAGGTGCTCCCTCCTCCAGCAGGTGGAGTGCCCTTTCTTCCCAACGAATTCAGTCTGAGAACACCTGGCCCAGCCTGGCTCCTGAGACAGCAGAGTGGGAACAATTCATTACCTGGTGGATTCTAAACAGTTCATGAGAACTCACTGAGTTGGGGCTCTGGGCTGGCCTCAAGAGAAGCGGAGACTGCCTGAGGCCAGGGCTTGGGCTCTAGGCCTGCAGGGAAGCTGGTGCAAGCTGTGCTGCAGACACGGTAGCTCTGGGCCAAGCCCTGGGCTGGCTTCAGGCTACAGGGATGTGTTACATGAGGTCCCTCCCCTGAGGATTCCACAGGATGGGGGAAGGGCAGACACTGGATTCTAACAGGGTCAAGTATGTGAACAGATCAAGGCTCAGAGTGGGGTGAGAAGCAGCAAGGCCAGCTGGCCCTTAGATGCCTCACCCCAGTGAAGGCTTCATTAATGGTGTCCTGGCCTTGATCTGCCTCCCGCTGCTGGGAATGTCTCTAGGGTACAAAGTGGCTGCCTTGGGAGCCTCCTTCAGGCACTAGTGAGCAAGCTGTTCTTCCGTCGGGGCCTTGGGCACAGTGACTTGTGAGGCTGGGGTGGCCCTGGGTACTGTGACTGCTGGATATTCTAGGACCTGTGGCTCTGGCACACAGTGAGCTGCCTCCAAATATGCTGGATCTCCATCCCGCGCACCGGGGAGACACTTGGACACAAATTGGCACTGGATGCCCATGTGAGGGAGATGCTTGGAAACAAGGGAATTCTTGTTGAGTTGATCCCCAGCTAGGCCAGCTCTAGGCAGATTATCGACCTAACACAGCTCCTCTAAGAGAGTGCTACAGAAAGAGGAAACATGCATTACCTGGCATCCAGCTTGGGCAGGAGAGGCAGATTCCTGGGGGGGGGAAGGGGACTGTGTTGGGCTGTGGGGGCTGCCCTGGAGAACGTCTACCACTCGACATCTAGCTCCCTTGCCTCCCTGATCCTCAACTGCCCTCGGAGTTCAAGGAAAGGCAAGCAGCTCCTAGGTGTCCAGTCCTCTGGCTGGTCAGACTAGGAGGTCACACCCAAGGAGAAGCAGACACCATCTTTGCCCCAGAAGACCTCACAGCCCAGGTGGGGAGGTGAGATTCCTAGGCTGGAAACAAGATGAGGTAGGACATGACTCAGTGCTGAAGTGTTTGCTTTGGCCCTTTGTGTGAGTGAGGGGCGGAGGAAGCCAGGAAGGAGCTGCTAGTGTGGGGGCAGAAGGAAGAGAGAAGGTGCATTTGTGTGTACCCACATGAGTGTGTGTGTGTATGTGTGTGTATGTGTGGTGTGTCGTGTGTCTGCATGTGTCACATCTGAGGTCATATCTCCGGATTCCCCCACCTTCTGTGCTATTTGCCCAGACAACCTAAAAATAATTTCCATTTAACTTTAGGATTTGTTATTTGATGCACTGGATGCTTGCCCAGCAGATATACTTTTCCACCCACACTTTATGTAAGATCAACATCAAGTTAAAATGAGTCTACATTATTTATGCACATACAAGGAGGCTAGTAGGCAAAAGGCAGACTACAGCAGCCTGGATTTCACTAGAAAGTTTATATAAAAATGGTCCCTGGCCAGGGCCAGTGGCTCTTGCCTATAATCCTAACACTTTGGGAGGCCAAGGGAGGAGGATTGCTTGAGTCTAGGTGTTTGAGACCAACGTGGGCAACATAGCGAGACCCTGTGTCTTAAAAATACAAAAATTAGCTGGGCATGGTGGCACTCGCTTATACTCCTAGATACTCTGGAAGCTGAAGTGGGAGGATCGCTTGAGCCTGGGAAACTGAGGCTGCAGTGAGCTGCGATCACACCACTGCACTCCAGCCTGTGTGACAGAGTAAGACCCTCATCTCAAGAAAAAAAGGTTCCAAAAACTGGACAGTGTGCATGGATTGGTGATCATAGCATTGATGGGGATGATAATAAAATAAAAAAGACCCTCTATGGCTACGGGGGGTGTCAGCCCCTTATTTCACCCACACATGACATAGCAATGGGCACATGGCCAGCACTCAGTGGATATTTACTGAACTTATATCTATCGATCTTCTCAATAGACATTGAGAAAAAATGTCCACATATGTACAACATCTGCAAAGATGGAGCTAGATGATTGATAATTCATCATGGACAGAGGACAACTAAATGATAGATTGAGTTTAACGTTTAGTTTATTAGAAAGATGGCTGAGGGGTGATGCTGTTATCAGAGTAAAAGATCAAAGCCACTGAGGAATGATAGATTGATAAATAACTTACTGAAGCTTGATAAAGGGGTAGGAAGAGAGATAAATTGTGGTCAATAGATCCATAGTCAGGTTCAAATAAATAGGTAGATAGGTAAACAGAAATGTAGCAGGAGAGCAAGAGAGACAGACAAGAGGGTGAGAGAGATACTGTGGTAGGCACAATAATGCCTATCCCTAAAGATGTCTGCACTGCACTCCCCAGAGCCTGTGAATACGTTCCCTGACATGGCAGAAGGCACTTTGCAGATATGATTAAATTAAGGGCCTTGAGAGGGAGGGATTATCCTGGGATTGTCCAGTGGGCCCCGTCTAATCGCATGTCCTATCACTGACCTCTCTTTCACTGTGTTGCAACCTCCCCTGTGCTCTTTTCAGTTCTTGATCATGCCAAGCTCATTTCTGCCTCAGGGCCTTTGTACTCGCTGCTGTCTGTCTGCTCCTTTTCATCACTCAAATCTCACTCAGTTTGTCTCCTTGCTTCTAGATTTTTGTCCTGAAGCCTTGAGTATACTCTGTTCCTGGGGACTGGGTTGGGGTAACGGGATGTCCAAGTTCCTCGCCTGTGCCGGCTGGCACTGTCCCCAGCCCCAAGTCCTGCCCAAGGTTGTGGGATGGAGCAGTGTGCATGAGTCATCAAGCCACAGACACAGTCCCCTTGTTGGAGGGACCTGAGCAATTACATTGTGGCTAACTCCAAGGGCTAATGGCTCAATTGAAAGGCAAGGTTAGGAATTTCCCCAAGTTCCTCAAACTCATATGGCACCAAGAGGGAACTGGAGAGTGGCAGAGCTGAGAATGGTCTGTGTGGAAGATGCTGTAACCTCTCTGAGCACTGCCATGTCCCTAGCCCGAGATGAGCCAGGCTGTGAAGGAGCAGATGGCACATCCCAGTCTCATAGGGGCCCATTACCCTTCAAGCATTCCTTTATTCACCCCACATCTAAGGAGCACCTATTCTGTACCCGACATCACACTGCCCTAGCACAGGTCAGGCCTGCCCTGAAGGAGCCTGCAGTCTAGCCAGGGAGACAGGCTGGCCAGCAAACCTTACAGGTGTACTGAATAAGCACCCAGAATTGGGGGCACACAGAGTGGGGGCCCGAGCAGCTAACGGGGCTCGAACGCAGTGAGAGACCAGCTGGAGGGATGAGGGAAGGGCATGCTGGGCAGCAGGAGCAGCCTGGCTGGGTCAGGATCCTGGGGCTGCTGTAGCAAAGTGCCACAGGCGGGGCGGCTTACAGCAGCAGACACTTATTCCCACAGTTCCGGAGAACAGACATCCCAAATTGAGGTGTTGTTAAAGCAGTGCTCCCTCCAAGGCCTTTAGTGGGGGATCCTGCCTTGCCTCTTCCAGCTTCTGGTAGTCCCTCGCATTCCTTGGCTTTTGGACGCATAACTCTGGTCTCCGCCTTCATTTTCACCTGGCCGTCTTCCCTATAGGGTCTTGCTGTGTGGTCCAGGCTCAAGTGCGCTGGCATGATCATGGCTCACTGCAGCCTTGACCTTCTGGGCTCAAGTTGATCCTCCTGCCTCAGTCTCCCAAGGAGCTGGGACTATAGGCACAGGCCACCATGCCCAGCAAATTTTTAAAAATTTTTTTGTGGAGACGGGATCTCGCTATGTTGCCCGGGCTGGTAATGAACTCCTGGGCTCAAGCAATCCTCATGCCTCAGCCTCCCAAGGTGCTGGGATTATAGGTGTGAGCCACTGCACTTGGCCCTCTTTTTAAAAAAGTAAAAATAAAAATGTTTTATTGCTACATAATAGTTGTACCTATTTGGGGGTACAGGTGATATTTGGACACATGTATACAATGTATAAAACCAAATCAAGATAGTTGGGATATCCATCACCCCAACAACTTTCCCTCTTCTTATAAGGACACCAGACATACCAGAGTAGGGCCCACTCTGATGACCTTATTTTAACACTATTAAATCTGCAAAGACTCTGTTTCCAAATACAGTCACCTTTACAGGTACAGGAGGTTAGGATTTCAACATATGTATGTGTGTGTGTATATATATATATATATACACACACACACATTTTTTTTTTTTTGAGATGGAGTTTTGCTCTTGTTGCCCAGGCTGGAGTGCAATGGCACAATCTCGGCTCACCACAATCTCTGCCTCCTGGGTTCAAGCGATTCTCCTGCCTCAGCCTCCTGAGGAGGTGGGATTACAGGCATGCGCCACCACGCCCAGCTAATTTTATTTTTAGTAGAGACGGGGTTTTTCCATGTTGGTCAGGCTGGTTTCAAACTCCCAACCTCAGGTGATCCACCTGCCTTGGCCTCCCAAAGTGCTGGGATTACAGGCATGAGCCACCGTGCCCAGCCCAATGTATATCTTTGTGTGCATGGCATGGAGACACAATTCAACCATAAGCATGGGCAAAGGCTTGGAAGGGCATGGAGCTCAGGGTAGAGCTCTCCACCGTTTACCACCTCATCACCCACAGCCTTTCTACACATTTCCCCTGGTGACTCACCAGTCCTTACACCTGCCCGGCATGCTCCCACCTCCAGACTCTTGTTCCCACAGCCCCCCTGTGTCTGTCTCAACTGCTTTCTTTCTCAATTACGAGGCCCACCTCTTCAGGGAGCTCTCTCTGACTTGGAAGTGCCGGTCCCTTCTTCTGTTTTGTTTTTTCTTTTTTGAGACAGGGTCTCTTTCTGTCACTCAGGCTGGAGTGCATTGGCGTGATTATGGGTCATTCCAGCCTCAACCTCCTGGGCGCAAGTGATCCTCCTACCTCAGCCTCCCAAAGTGTTAGGATTACAGGTGCAAGCCACCACACCAGGCCTCTTTCTCTGATTTCTGAGACTTCCACAGTCTGAGGGCTCATTTAGTCTACAACACAGTGCCCAGGTAGGCATCTTTTTACCTGTCCCCTTCAGCCTCCTGCCTGCTTCATGCCAAGCCCAGGATCAGGGAACAAGAGACCTCAAGTCCAGCCGGATGCCGTGGCTCACGACTGTAATCCCAGCACTTTGGGAGGCTGAAGTAGGTGGATCGCTTGAGCTCAGTTCAAGCCCAAAAGACCTTGAGTCCAGCCTCTCAGCCATTTCCAAATTTCCTCTGCACCCTCCCTGCACAAGTTTCTCACCTGTGCTTGGATGTCCCCATGCCCAGGGCATCTGGGCCACACTGTGTCTCCCAGGAGCTCCTTCCCACCACTTGGAGCCCCATGGAGTCCACTTGGCTTCCCAGCGACCATGGCTGCAGTGGAGCATTAGGCCATCTGAGGGACTTGCAAATGGCTCCGTAGCCCAGGGGTCTCCTTTACCCACCTGCCACATGCCAGAAATTCCACCATTAGCAAGTCTGACAGCATCCCCCCTGATAAGGACAGATGCCCCAAGGAGAGACTCTGCTGTTGAGTCGCTGGGCCAGGACTTGCTGCCAAGAGCCTGACAGCCTGTCGCTTGGTGACATCTCACTCAAGTCCTTCAGGAGACTTGCACCCCAAAGGCAGGAGGGGGCTGAAGGAGATGGGGCTCCTCTGCAGAGCTTTGTCCAAAGGCAGCAGGCTGAGAGGTGGGGGAATCTAAGGCAGCCCAGTGGCCCCGCCCTGCCCAGGGGAGAGGCTCTCAGGCCCCACAAGCTCAGCCTCTTCCTCTCTCCCCACACCCCCTTTATTCCTGCACCTCCCTGCCTGGAGAACTGCCCCCTCCACACACTCCCAGCCTTTGGGCAGTTAGTGACCTTTGGACTGGGAAAGCACTGGAGCCTCCTGGGCCCCACACCCTGGCTGGCATTTACGGGGAGCAGGGAGAGGCCCAGAACTGTCACTCTTAGGCAGGCCCAGTCCCCAGTGTCCTCAACTAGCCAGTCCTGTTCTCCCCTTTCTTCCATGGGGAGGAGCTGGGGGCAGGGAAGAGGGCTGGGCCAGTCCTGGCCAGAGGCACTGTGCTACCACTTGCCCTCAGCCCCACAGGTGCCCCTGGAGTCTGTGCAGAGGCCTAGGCAGAAGCGCTGGGGTGCTCCTGCTTTCCTGCCGGCGGGACTGGAGGATAGGATGAGGAAGTGTGCTCAGTGCCAGACCCCGAGGGTCCCAACAAGACTCATTTGGGAGGGTGAGCTAGCCCTGTCTAATAAGGAACTATTTCAGGTTTGCAGTAATCAAGTCTAGCTCGGGGCTGCCCCACATAGTCGGATAATGGAAGCCACATGTCTGCAAGCATGATTTGGCTCCTGGGCCTAGTTGTCCAGTGCAGACCCAGTGAGAGGCCTCAGCCCTGCACCCAGCTTCCAGGCCCCCACCTCCACCTCAAGACATTAGTGCAGGCCCGGTCCTAGTAGGTTCTCTGGCTAATGAAGCCTCCTGGAGCCCATAGCCCTACCAATTCTGGTTAGAGCCCACATAGCAGACACAACAAGATGCTTTTTTTTTTTTTGAAATGGAGTTTCCCTCTGTTGCCCAGGCTGGAGTACAATGGTGTGATCTCAGCTCAGTGCAACCTCCGCCTCCTGGGTTCAAGTGATTCTCCTGCCTCAGCCTCCCAAGTAGCTGGGATTACAGGTGCCTGCCACCACACCTGGCTAATTTTT